CTGGCCCTGAAGGTCAAAGCTGGAGGGCTCAGCTTCAACGAGGAGGAGCTGGGAGGAGTGGCTGTGAGAAGACACTGGGATGGAAGAAGAGCTCTGGTTGTGACAGGAGGTGCTGGAGCTAAATAGAAATGTTTGTGTTGTGGCGATGGGCTATATTTTGGGCCCCGATTATTGTTTTGAACTGTTTCTGGTACACCGTACATAAGAATGACCACGCTGGGTCAGACCAGTGGTCCATCTAGCCCTGTCTTCTGACAGTGACCAGTCCCAGATGCTTCAGAGGGTGTAATCCATCCCCTATCACCCTGTTCCAGCTTCTGGCAGTTTGAAGTGGAGGGACAACAAGAGCATGAGGTTGTGCCCCTCATCATCTTGGCTAACACGTATTTCATTATTTCTTTAACCCAGTTATACTTTTGGCCTTCACAGCATCCTCTGACAAGTTCCACTTGTTGACTGTGTGTGGCGTGAGGAAATAGTTCCTTATGTTTGTTCTAAACCTGCTGCCCATTAATTTCATTGGGTGACCCCTGGTTCTTGTGTTTATATGAATGGGTAAATAACATTTCTCTTTTCACTTTCTCCATACCATTCATGATTGTATAGACTTCTATAATATACCCCCCTTAAGTGATGATCTAAGTAAGGGTTGTTTTCCAGAACCAGGGCCTAAATGATGACTATTGGTATGTCCACTGCATAAAAGAATCCCTGTTTTGTGACTGGGTGAAAAATGATTGAGTAATTTTCTATAGTTTACTTCAGCCAAAGCCAATAACATTGAGATCTGGAATAAATGTTAAGTAATAAAAAGTATGTTAAAATAGATCCACCCATTTCTTCTCCCCTCTTAGGCTGTTCATTTCAATGGAGAAACTGTTTACACTGTAAAACTTCACTGTAATGATGCGATCGTTGAAGCCATGCAAAATGTATGTAACAATGCATACGCTGACTATTGAGATATGTCGTCCCTCCATGAAAATATAACCTTGGCTTTACTTCAGTCACAATTTACTTCAAAAGTCAAAGCTTGATATTCACTTCAGCCAAAATCAGTATCTGCTTAGTAGCGGAATAGAGATCACCTCCCCAGTCAGAACTGAGAGAGAGGCTGTAAAAAGCAAGAAGAAATGCCTTAGATGTAGTCAGGCTTGTTCCAGGTGGCGGGCACTGCAGAGGAGAAAGCTCTCTCTAACAGAGAGGGGTTAGATTGGAGAGGAACAGAGAGCAGAGGCTCATGCTTGATATAGAATGGAGAGAGTGACACAGTCTATGGTGACTTTTGCCGATAATGATTTTAAGGTACAGCGAGTAGATTTTGGAGTCCAATAGCTTTGCCCGGTTGTGTCCCAGTAGGTAAGGAGGGCTCAAGATGAATGCAATACGTGGCATTGAAATGAAATTAACTAAACAAACGCGGCCTTAATCTAAAGCAATAGCTATCAATGAACAAACACTAACATGTGGGGAGCTTTTTTCTTCTTGCTTTGAAGTAGAAAGGTTATATGAAAATATGTTTTTGTGAAGTCTTCTGATAATCTCCATCTTCCAACCTCATACATCGCCTATCATTCTACCCTTCCCAGTCCCTGGCATATTACTGTCTGTGATAACGCAATTTACTTTGCTCCTCCTAGATCCCATTAGAATCTCTTCCATTACAAAATTCTCTCTGTTTCACTCCCCCACATGCTGGGATTGTTTAACATTAGCTTTTTCTGGGAGCTCCCTTGTACTAATCAGAATCTTGCCATATGACTGCACTGTGAAAGGTACAGTTATCCCAATAATGAATCTGGAGATAGAAATGAGATGTGAACACAGGTATTGTCCTAGTAGATCAGACAAGAGGTCCATCTAGTTCAGTACCCTCTCTCACACAGTGGTCGGTTTCAGAAACTTCTGAGGCAAACATTAAACCCCAACAATTATGCAATAAGATGCCTATGGGAGAAGTTTCTTACTAACCCTAGGTCTGGTCTTGCAGCACAAGCACATCCCTTTATGCATTATAATTTATTTATTTGCATTGCAATTGTGCTTAGGACCACCAGTTGTGGACCAGGACTCCACTGCGCTAGGTGCTGTATTAACACAAAACAAAGACAATCACTGCCCCAGCTTCAGGTATTCCTATTGTTCATATAAATATCTGGCTTTCCAAATCCTCCAGAGATCTTTGCCTCGTTAATATGTAGCAGCAGTGAGTTCCATGGGTTAATTCTGTCTTCATAAAGCACTTTCTTTTATAATTTTTGACCAGGTTGCCTTTTAATTTTCATATTACCTTGTATTCTTGCCCTCTATACAATGAGAGTCCTAAACTTTTGTTTCTTTTCATAGGGAAATCTTTCCATACCTAGCAATTTTTTTGTTGCCCTCCTTCAGGACTGCACATAGGGGAGACATTGTCATTGAACTTTACACAATTATTGTTAGGACAATTACTCTCAGTGATGAACTCTCAAGAGAAAAAAGAGGCCTAATTCTTAGTTAAGGCTCTTTTGTGCTGCTCTGTCAATATAGAGGCTTTAAAGGTAGAGACAAATGAAATGGAAATAATTGGATCAAGGCACAATTGCTCTCTGATCTAAACTATCTACTCTGCCTCTCTCTAGTCCAGGGTACTTCCAAGACTTTGATCACCACAATATCATCTGCTGCTTTATGTATACGCAAAAAGAAAAGGAGTACCTGTGGCACCTTAGAGACTAACCAATTTATCTGAGCATGAGCTTTCGTGAGCTACAGCTCACTTCATCATGCTCAAATAAATTGGTTAGTCTCTAAGGTGCCACAGGTACTCCTTTTCTTTTTGCGAATGCAGACTAGCACGGCTGTTACTCTGAAACCTGCTTTATGTATGTGATTTCTTCCCTTCCCCACACTTCTGGATCCCTGACCCCTCCCCTTACCCCCCCACACTCCATCAGCAGGACTAAGTGAATAGTCTAGAAAATGTCCTGCCACAACAGATCTAAAGCCCGATCCTGCTCCCACTGAAGAAAATAGGGTCATGATTCTCCTCATGTTTGTCTGGTACTGGTGTAACTCCAATTCTTTTAGTGGTTACTCCGATTCTCACTGGTAGAAGTGAAAGCAGAAGCAGAAGGAGGCATTCTTCCATTTACTTCCCTGTTACCAGGATTTTCACTTCCTCTGTACATTGCCCAAATAGGGGGAGCAGCAGCAGAAGGTGCTTTGGGTTCTTGATCATTTAGATGGAGTTGAGTGTGAAAAATTAATATTATGCAAGGCAGCCACCCAGACATCTTTATTCACCTCCATACAACTGAGTGGAAATAATGCTAAGAGAAGATTTATGTCTGCAGAATCAAAGGAATTCAGAGTTGAAGGGGCACTTCCACACTAGGGGAAAGCTTATGTCCTTTTAAACCTTGAATCCTTGAAACTAGCATGTGTTTCTTGTACTTCTGGTCACCAGTGTGGCTAATCAGTAAATGTTTGTGCTGATATAGGGGTTTCCTTCCCTAAAAGCCCATCTATTAGAGCTGCTTGGGTCTATAGTACAGTCATTGGACCAGACCATGACTGAAAGATCCAAATGGCTCTCATCCCTCCAACTAAATGGGATGAGGACTCAGATCCCCGTAGGGAATGGCAGTGGGGACTTTACAGGCTGAGACAGGGTTGGAGCAGTGTGCGGGTGCAGGATGGGAATTGCAGCAGCGAGGTGCAGGGTGGTGAGGGGCTGTGTGTGGACTGGAGGTGGGAAGGGGTGTGTGTGGGTAGTGGAGTGCTGCAGGATGGGGATCACAGCTGTGGGGTGCAGGATTGGGAGGGGTGGTTGGTGGGCAGGGAGGTGCAGGCGGGTTGGGGCGCTGTGTGGGTACACGGTGGGGATTGCAGCAGTGCGGTGCAGGGCCGGGGTGAGGGGCTGTGCAGGACCGGAGGGGCAGAGTGCGAGGGGCTCGCAGCACTGGAGCGATGGGTGGGTGGAGGGAGCAGGGAGGGGATGTTAAGAATCAAAAAGCAAACGGGATGTTAGGAATCATTAAAAAAGGGATAGAGAATATCTTATTGCCCTTATATAAATCCATGGTATGCTCACATCTTGAATACTGCTTACAGATGTGGTCCCCTCATCTCAAAAAAGATATACTGGCATTAGAAAAGGTTCAGAAAAGGGCAACTAAAATGATTAGGGGTTTGGAACGGGTCCCATATGAGGAGAGATTAAAGAGGCTAGGGCTTTTCAGCTTGGAAAAGAGGAGACTAAGGGGGGATATGATGGAGGTCTATAAAATCATGAGTGGTGTGGAGAAAGTGAATATGGAAAAGTTATTTACTTGTTCCCATAATATAAGAACTAGGGAGCCACCAAATGAAATTAATGGGCAGCAGGTTTAAAACAAATAAAAGGAAGTTTTTCTTCACTCAGCGCACAGTCAAGCTGTGGAACTCCTTGCCGGAGGAGGTTGTGAAGGCTAGGACTATAACAAGGTTTAAAAGAGAACTGGATAAATTCGGGAAGGTTAAGTCCAATAATGGCTATTAGCCAGGATGGGTCAGGAAAGGTGGCCCTCGCCTCTGTTTGGCAGAGGGTGGAGATGGATGGCAGGAGAGCGATCACTGATCACCACCCGCTACGTTCACTCCCTCCGGGGCACCTGGCACGGGCCACTGTCGGCGGCCAGGATACTGGGCTGGCAGGACCTTTGCTCTGACCCACTGTGGCCACTCTTATGTTCTTATCCCGCCAGCGGCACCTGCAGCCAGGGCTGGGTGCGGGACTGAGTGGCTGGTGCCGGGGGGATGCAGGGAGCGCAGCGTGGCCCCGCCCCCGCTCCACAGAGCTCCGCCCCCTCCTGCTCTGTTCTCTTTGCCCCTCCAGTGAGCGCAGCCGTGCAGCTGGACTCAGCCTTCCGCGCATGCGCACAGCAGCCGAGGGCGTCGCTCGGGCTAACCCGGCCCATGGCGCGTAACGTCATTCCATTAGCCCCGCCCACATGGTAGCGTCCGGAAACGTTCCGGTTGCCACGACGACGGCGTTGTTCCCTGCGGGCGGGGCCGAGCGAGCGCCGCATCCTGTGCGGGCCCGGAGCTGCCCTTCCCCCTCCGGCCAGGGCCCCGGGCAGCCCCCCGCCCGGCCCGGCCCGGCCCCCCCGATGCCGCGGAAGGCGCTGGTCTGCGCCCTGGAGCTGGAGCTCCGCTCGGTGAGTGGCCGGGCCGGGCCGGGCCGGGCGCCCGCCCCCGACCCCAGCGGGTCCCCGCGCTGCCGCCGCCTCCCCCCGGGCTGTGACAGGGCGTGGCGGGCTCCTGGCTTCTCTGTCCCCCTCCCGCCAGCGCTCGGGGAGGAGATCGCTGCCCGGCGGGGAAACTGAGGCACGGGAAGGCCGCGGCCGCACCCGCCGGGAGATGGAGTCCGGCGCCCCCAGCGCCCGCTCCGCTCTCCCCCCCCCCCCGCGGGCAGCCCCTGGGCCGCCGGGTTAAAAGGCCTCGGGTCCCTCTTCTGCCCCGCGGCCAGGGGCTGCGGGGCCGTTACTCTCGGCCTCCTCCGCTGGCCGCGCTCGCCTTGCCCGGCCCCTGCGGGCTGAGCGCAGGGCCCCGGGGTCAGAGCCTTCCTGGGGGGTGAAACCCGCGCAGACAGGGGGGCCGCTGGAGAGCTGGGGGGGGGGGTTTAATTAATTTAGTCTGCTGGTAGTTCTCGTGGCTACAGATAGCACTTGGGGGAGACCAGCGTTTCTCAAATTGCAGGTCTTGGCCCAAAAGGGCATTGCGGGGGGGGGGAATCACAAGGTTATTTTAGGGGCTCATGGGATTGCCACCCCTCCTTCTGCGCTGACTTCAAAGCTGGGTGGCTGGAGGTCGGCCTCTGAAGGCAGCGCCCTGCCAGCAGCAGCGGGGAAGTGAGGGGAGCAATACCACAACCGCCCCCCTACAAACACACCCTTCCCCCAACTCCTTTTTGGGTCAGGACCCCTACAGTTTCAACACCATGACAGTTCAGATTTAAATAGCTGAGGTCATGAAATTTATGATTTTTTTTAAAATCCTATGACCGTGAGTTTGCTAGTGCCTTCCTCATGGCAATCATGCAAGAGAAGCGATCAGTTCTTCCTGGCAGAAGTTCCTACCCTGCAGTTTCTCCTTGGGACTAAAATGTTTTAGGTAAAAGAGGAGGAGTGGAGACTGCTATATTTTACCCTAGACTTGCCTGGAGACAAATGTCAGTAGCAGTGTAAATGGTGATGTTTTCACTTTCATCAGCTGCCTTTAAGTAGTGTCATCTGATTCAATTGTGTGCAGTGCAGGACATGCAAGGGCTGAATACGATTGGAATTGAAACCCATCTATTTTTCCAGGTGACTACTGTGAATTGAAATGTCATGGAAGAGTCACGTGACCTCACCTGTGACCGCTCAAAGTAGCATACCTATATTCTGATTTACTCAACATAACGGTCTCTTCCCACGATCCCCCACCATAATTTTTAGACCTTCGGAGACACCTTGCATGCCAGCTGGCAAAATGAGGTTGGGATTATGGTTGACTTTGCATGGTCAGTGCTCGCTTTGATCTATCGGTTATATTGGCCCACTGGTTCCTGGATGCACTTTGCACAAAGAAAAATCCTGGATGCCATCTAAAATATGAAAATGCATTGTCCTCACATTGCCAGCGAGAGGCTATGATGGAAATGGAGCTGGTGTTTTTGGTTTCTGATTTGTTCCTACTGCTGGTAATTGCACGTTTGCTCTAAAACAGCCACATGACCATGTATTTGTTATGAGATGAAGGATAGGGAGGGTACCAGCTTTCCTACAGTTGTTCAGGGATGGCAGCTTGGTAGGTTTCCATATTAGCCTCTATCTATGGCTGTCTGATGAAATATGACCTTCTTCCCCCCTTCTCCCCAAAAAGCCCTTTTTGGCTACTGGAAAGAAGAACTAGTATTTTCTCTTGGTTCCTCCTTGCACCCCAGGTTTTGGGTGCTGAATGGGGTGTGGGGACAGGTAGCCCCTACTCCCTTGCCTCTGGCTGCTGCAATTAGGGATATTTGCTACCCTTCCCACCCTCAAGATTCCAGGTTGCAATCAAAGGAGGCTTCTCAGTTATGTCCACCAGCGTCGGTTCTGAATGCGCCTTCCTAGAGAATAGCTCAAGTGCTTGCCTTTGATGCTGCCTGTACCTCTCACCTGCTTCTTCATTTCACTGCCAGCTAGAGACTTCTTACTTGCAGCAACATGCTGAATGACTAAAACGGTGTGTCTGCAGGCTAAGGAAGTTAGTGTTGCACCTGTTTACATTCCATTTACATTTGAAGGTTACCTTTGCAACCATATTGGCTAACGCCTTATTGTAAGTGAAAACTCTGTAGGAGTTAATGGGCATTGTTTGTCCTTGATACTGAGAGTGTCTTATTTGTTAGCAGAGAGTAGGCAAGTGGATTTTTGAAGCTCCGTGTCTGGAGTTAGTTAAATACACACACATCACAGGCCTAAAACTGCATGTAAAATCAGACCGTGGGAGTCCCCTTGAAAGGAGATCATGGTTCATTATAATATGCTGTCCCCTTATGTGAAATGAGTTTGGTGGGTCTCATTCCTTTTCTTATTGGATACTTATTACATCACAAGACCACGATGACCACACATTTTTGGGAAGCTTGGATCAGAAGACACAAATTGAATGAGTATGGATGCTGATCCAGTTTGTTACTGTATCTTTACTGTAAGTCCCTTCAGGTCTGTTCTGAGATCAGTTTGGGGATACCACTGTCGCTCCCCTAACTGTACTTGTCTTAGGGATAATATTAACATATTTTTACATAGCACGTAACAAAGCATAGAGCAAAACTGTCCATTGTACTTATCAAATAGGGGCTTCAGCTTAGTTGCCAAAGTCTGTGCAGCTCCATGTGACATTTATGGAAATTATTTAGTGAGTTAAAATTGTATATTTGTAATTCACTGGTATATACCCATAAATTGGCTTTAAAAATTGTAGATTTATGCTTCTGCAGCTCTGCTAAATGAAGCCCTCAGTTTGTCTACAGGGCAGCAGAAGTGCAAACTTCCAGCATACCTGAACCCTGATCTGGGAAGAAGTTCATTTTTCTGGCAAGGCAAAATGGGAAACTGGATGAAACTTGGGTCTGTCGGATTGGAGACTTGCCTTCAGTGACCTCCTTCAAGCTTTCATTTTTCTTATCTGTAAAATGGGGGAATGCTAGCTGCATCCTCTAAGGTAAAGATATGAGGCCTTGGTTATTAAGGGCTGTGAAGTGCACAGAAATATTAACAGCATTCAGTTGAAGAGCTGAGACAAACACATTCTCAGTTTGTAGCTCAAAGAATCTTCCCCTAGGCGACAAGGTGCTGCATGGGGAAGTCTCTCTCGCATTCATACTTATGTATGCATGAGTTTCATGCAAAGTGTAATACTTGGCAGGTGTGCTTCAATCTTTAGGACTGTTAACCTGGTGCCTTTCATCAGAGATAATAGCTCTTGGAGGGGGAAACCTTTTGCTTAGTTAATATATGTTTTAACAGACTTTCTTGTTTAGACCACAGGTCCCCATTAAATTCCACAAATCCAGTGCTTAATTTGTGCCAGGGCTGAGTCCTGGCACCTTTAGGGTTGGCCCTTCATAGCCCCAGCACATCTGAGCTTGCTGCATCAGTTATGAATGTAAAATTTTTTTTTTTTTTGCTTGAGCCCCGGCACCTTTTTCATTACAAATTGAGCACTGCGCAAATCCATCGGATTTAGGCTCCATAACTTCTTTCATTCAAGGATTATTTTTCTGTGATATATGAAGAATCTTTAGGTCCAGCAGGTATTCCTCATGTTCATCTGAGAGAAGAACTGTAGCAAACGTACCTCACTTAATTCCTGTCACTCTGCTCCCTTTCTCCTCTAGCTGGCAATTGAAAATCTGAGCACTGCTTCTCCTGCAACCTTGTGTTGCAAGAGGCAACCTCACATTTATAATACTGTGATAATATGAGAGCAGCATAAACTGAAGTGAAAGGTGACTGGGAATTCTCTAGCTGGATCACACAGCAGAACCATCAGAATTGGAGAAAATAACATGTAGTTGTGGGGAAGAGATTTGTGTGTGTTCTTAATGTGAGAGAATAGCTGAGAATTGTGTGATGTACATCACAGCTTGAAAAAATGTATGAGATGCTCACTAGCCAGAGGACTAAACCTATGAGTTAGAAATAGATGTGAAAGACAATGCAGTGGCCACCCACCAGCAGTGTCCAGAGTATCACTGTAGTAAAAAAAAGTCCAGTCTCCCTTTGGTACTCCTCTGCAGTGCCCAAACTTTGCAACATCAGGAATTGCATTGGCAACTTTCTGGGAACCCAAGAGCTACACCTGATTCCCACATACATTTACATAAACTTTAAAAAAAAAAATCCAACCCTAAAACAAATCTACCTTTCTTAGGCAGATTGAATTTGTTCACAAGCAATAAAACCTACCAGTGCATCAGCTGAGTCCTCACTGCCGGGAGGCTACGTTTCAGGACGTGGACAGCTTTTGGCTCTTGGGGCATGTTTTGGATATCTCATGAGTCATTGTTTGCTCTGTATAACCCTTAGTGATTAAATGATGTGGATTGTGAACACCAGCAGCTATTATAAAGTGTGACCTTAAGACTGGGGAGTCTGGCTGAAGTTAATGGAGCTGTGACTGCTTACACTAGGGGAGAACTTAGTCCTAAATATTTTAAAACTATAAGTATTTGCCTTACTGTAAGTAAGTATAGCTAGAATTACTTCAGAAAAGGAGGGTTTGCCACTGAGCTATGTTACCATATGGGTCCCCAGCAAACAACTATTTTCATCTTAGCTCATTCTATTTTTTCTCCCAAATATAACCAATAATTCTAATGCTGAAGCTCAGTTTGTATAATAAATATGTTGTTCTTCCAGATAACTTGCCCTGGAGTGTTGCTGAAAGACAAAAGTGAGCTCTATCTCAGCGCCTGTGTATTTGGACAGTACAAAAGGACTCAATGTGTCCCTGCAGCATTTCCACTCTTCTTAGAAGAGAAACTAGTATTTGAAAAGGTACGATCATAACATCGGACATGAACATGTAAAAAACAAAGAACCAGAATCCCCAAACACAAATGATCACACCGAAAATGGTATTGTTTTACTACTAATTTCTGCAGCTCTTCAACACAAAAGACATTTGTTTTTTCATTATAGATATAGTAATTCAAAAATAAATTTGTGAGCATATGAGCAAAGTATATCATGAGGATTTTTAGGTTTTTGTTCTTTCTTCTTTTATGAAATGACCTTTTTTCCCAGTAGCTCCTCTTAGTTCCTGCCAAGTGTTATGCTCCTTAAATATAGGTCAAAATGGAAAATACAAGTAGGGAATAGGGAGAAGAATGAAAATTAAAAATCACAAAGTAAGATTATAAAAACAGTCTGTAGCAAAAAGGTGGAATATGAGCTTGGGCTTTCTGGTGACAGCTCTCTGCTCTTTCCTGGTTTGATGTCGCAAGAGCCCCCTTGATGGCACTATAGCCTTGTATTTTACCGTTGCCTATCACCTCTTCCATGTCCCTACTAGTTTCATTGTGAGTGCCATAGGAATAATGAAATTCTGTACCTTACAAACATGATTCTGTTTTTTGACTACTCATGAATAACAATACTTTGCACGTCTCTAATGCTTTTCATCCAAGTATCCCAAAGCACTTTCAAAGACTGACTAATTAAGCCTCAACAACACCTTTGTGAGATAGGTAAGGCATGAAGAGGGATAATTTCACCCACCACTGAAAGGCAGGGTGGAAATGGAACATAGCAGCTATTTAACAGGGCACAACCAGACTACAAAGCAACTTAGGACCGGAAGTGCTGATTACTGTATTCAACTGAAACTGAGGGAGAAATCTAGGTGCATTTATAAAGTGCAATTTCTTAAGTCGGAATTTAGTCAGAGCACTGGGAAGAACATCCATGCTCTTACAAAGTGTCATTTAATAGCTTGAGGTATTCAGGCTCTCTACTTTTACATCCTCAAAAGTTTGGTACCTCCAGCAATAGGATGCCTCGCAACATCATGCTGAGGCAGTGGCTCAGTATTGAATCAGAGAGAAGATTCCTACACCACTGTCCCCTAGAAATTATAATAACAAACTAGTCACTATTTCTTCAGGACTTGCAAAAATGTTGTAGAGAGCTGCCCTTTCTGGCTTTACAGCAGTCATTAGTGAATGAACGGTATTCCCAGGTGCTGACATGATCAGTAATAGTTATGCACAAACAAGAACATAATGGAAATGTGCCATGTTATTTTCAGGTCAGTCACAAGTGCCAGAAGAATTATCAACATTATACAAATGGAAATAAGAAAAAACAAAAATAATTCTATTTTCAAATATCTAAAAAGATTGTGGGATCGCTCAGTGTAGAAAACCCAATAATTAAAAAAGGTGCCGACATTGTCCCTTTAATCTTTTTCAGTTACAGATGAAAGATGAATTTTTCTAACAAGATCAGCTATTTGTCTTTTATATTGCTGAAATTTGTGCAGACTGCACTTGCATGTTCATGTGATTGGCTCTTTATCTATGGTAGCTCACATAATTTAGATAGAGAGGAAGAATCTTGAAATGGTTAGAAATCAGATGACCAAAAGTGCTGTCTTTCTAAGAAATATATTCTGTCTCGGTGCCAGGTTATAATTTCAGTTTTCTGTTGTTCCCCCCTCACTCCCTCCTTGGGGAATAGTACTGTTTGCAATAATCAGAATCAAAGGGAAACTTTAGTTTTCTTTAAGCACATCTGTTATTTCTGATCAAATGTGTCCATTACATTTTTTTAAATCTTTTGTTTTAGGTATTTACTGATGTAGTTGATCCTGGAGAACTTGTTGAGCTACTTGAATGTAGGTTTTGCTTTTTATATACATTATATTGTATGCACCTAGGTCTAGATCCTCAGAAAGAGAGCATAGGCTCAGCTTTGTAGTGCCTAATATGTAGGCATTCTGCTGCCCATGAATTTGGCGCTTAGACTCTGTATACAATGCAGTAGGGAGTTAAGTCCCTTCAAAATAGTCATGGGGCAAAAGAAAAAGAGAGAGACTCTGTCTCCTAGTGGTTAGTGCTCTTTCCTGGGAGACTCTGGTCCAGTACCTGCTTCAAGGAATATTTAAGTATTTCATACAAAGTAAAACAGCTTTAACAGAAGAGTTTAATTCCTGCGTGAGCTGGGTTCCGAGCTGCTCAGCGACTTAAACAGTTTTGCTCATGCCCACAGTCACGAATTTAGATGCTTAAAGGACTTTACCAGTGAAAACTTAGGGGTCTGGGTAATTTAGGTTCCTATAGGATTATGTGGCCACTGAGCAGGGGTTTAGAGGCACTAAAGTTTGAAACCTAAGTGCCTAAAGTGGCGTTTAGCACCTGAATCCCTTTGTGGATCTAGCCCTTGGTGGCTAATATCATATTAATAATATGGAATCTAAAGATATTTTTGAGAGTTGAGGGGTTAGATTGGGAACAGGAAAACATTCTTACTATCTCTTTGAAACACTAGTGCCTGAAGAATGATCAGTATTCCATCTGCTAGAAATATGTGTGACCATTAAATGAAATAGTCATTGCTCAAAGAGCGATCCTTCAAATGTGAGCCTAGGAATGTTTTAGAGGATGTGATGGCTTCTTTTGATAGTAATAACTTACCAGGAATACAGATAAATAGGCACTTCCAGAAATCTCTAAATTATACATTTCTTCTAGTGTATTCAATAGAGTGAAATTTAAAACAGTTAAAAACATACCTTGTTCGTATACAAAGACTTAATGAACTCAACAAACTGACCACATATAGCAAGCTATGTTCAAATACTTTGAACTTCAGTGAGGGTTTTACTTTGTCAAATGACTGTGATTTTTTTTTAAACAGAGTGACTCCACAATGAACAATGCTGCCATACATTGAGCATGACGAATCCTATTAAAATAGTATTGTGCCTGAACTAAAACTCCAAATTTAGGTCCCCTCAAACATTGTGAGAATTACAGTCCAAAACAGGATCCAAACTTCATGGCTTCTCTGTAGTCTCTTCAAAGGATTGACTCCATCTGCTGCCGAACTTGACAGTGTCTGTTACAAGCTTGAGCCAATAATTTATTATTTGTATTATGGTAGTGCCTGAGGACGCCATTGTGTTAGCCTAGATTTGTAGTATTCATATAAAGTGTTCATAATCTGCTCTTATTATTGGTACATCATAATTGAACTTATTACATTAGCGCATACATTGTTGAGAGGGTTAAATCAGGGAATGGGTGCTCTTTTACTTTGCATATTAAAATTACTTCTGATCATAGTTTATTTTTTGACTTTTGAAAACTTTTTTTCCTTTCTAGTTGACACAGCAGTGCTTGAACTAATACAGCTTGTTCCTCCAGGTATTGTATCAATCTCTTCATAAATCAGGCAGTTTAATCGGTGAATTTCCATGAGGACACACAATCATTTTTCTCAACATACAAACCATGTAGAAAGCTCTTCAACAAATAGTCCCCTGAATATAAAATGTTAATAGATCAAGAGGATCTCATTTTTGAAAGAGAATAAAGCTAATATTGAAATGTTCTATTCTCAGGCTTACGAAAGTGATAATACTTTAAAAATTGAAAATAAACTGAACTCACACAATGCATACTTATTAAAGGCCTCAAAATTCACTTGTGGTCTGCCTGTGAGGTTTCAAAGTGTATAATCTTGTTCTCAAAATGACACTTTTCTTTTAATGGTGACCGCTGGGGAAAACCCTTATCCACGCTATAAATATTTCTGGTCTCTGGGGAGAGGTGAAGATAATAAATAACGATTTGTCATATTTCTGTTATAGGTTTGTGTGATTATAAAAAAATCTATCTTAATGAAATTCAAATATTCCCATGGATAATATAAATCTGCATTTTATTGGAAATAAAATAGAGTTTGAAGGAGGACTTGATTGAGAACTGTGGAATTAAAAGCATCCATAGTTACAGGTCCTTAATAACACCACAGCAAGCAAGAAAATACCTGTTTCTCTCAGTGGCTTCCTGGGATATTTACACAAAGAAAGAAACTGAGTGTGGATTTTGTTGTTGTGGGAGTGTAGGAGATTTTAGAAGGAGAGAGAGCTTATAGTGGACGCTTGGCAAAGTGACTGTGGTAGAACAACTTGAAAGTTTTATATAATCGATCTTGGTTTTTTTCCTTAAAGAAAATAAAACAAGATTTGAGGATCTTGAAATACTCTTTTTGATTGTACCTAAATTCCTTTCTGACAGCTGACTAAATCTCTGATTAACAACCATAATTGTTCTGTAATACAGAATAACAGATGTGAAGTTTGCTACTGTTAGAAAACCATTGGCTGTACATAGGAGAGGAAGAAGGGAAGAAATGTCGTAGGAAAACCTTTTACATGTCTCTTAGTGCAACAAAGGCAGTCTGCTTTACATAAATTTGATAGTTTTCAGTAAAAGGTGCTTAAGGGCCCAATCCTGTGCATTCTTACTATCGGGCATAGTCCCACTTTAGTCAGTCGTCTTATGGTCTAGTGTAGTAAGAGTTTACTCTTAATTTTTAAAGGTAAAACATTGTACTCATTTCGGCATAGTCTCATGCATGTGTGTCTACACTGTACAACTGTTTCCCAATACATTAGTACATATTTCCTTTTTAGTGGGAGAAATTCTAGCCACTTATGAAGAAAATACAAGAGATTTCCTGTTCCCTGACCCTAAGCTTACTCGTGGACACCATGGTTCAGATCGCGAAGTTTTAATGAAGAGGTCTTCTAGTTTTACAGTAAGTGCATATCTGTGTATTGTACTTATGATACAGTATGTTTCACAGGAACAGCTTCGTGAACTATCTCAAGCCAAAAGTGATTACTTTTGACAGATAATTCAATACCTGAAATGGCAAGTACTAATCCAAGGCTGAACTTTGTGAAGATAGAATATGTCTGCTGGAAATGTTATTTTAACTTGATGTGCAAACTGTACTTGTATAATGTGAACAAGTTAGTATCTAGATTGATTTGATATATAGTACCATGGCCTTTATATCTTCTTTTCACCCATCCACTGGGTGCGAAGCTAGATTTACTGCCAACAGGAACCATCAAATTGTACAGCAGTTGAACTATGTAACGGGACAATCTTATTTTTGTAACACTCTCCCACACTTACTCTTTTGGTTGCATTTTGTCTCCAGTTACATCGGAAACCCTCTGGGTCAAGGTCTGTTGATCCATCTGTTTGTACAACACTGTGCGCAGTGCTTCTCCAGCACTCATTGGAGCTTGAGGGAACCTCACATAATAAGAATGAATAATCATCATCATCTGTATTTAAACTTGATTCAGACTCCGATAGCTTTGATTTTCCCTTCTAGAACTTGTTTGTCAAACTCTCGTTAGCCTCTGTTCACACTGACTGGCCAAGCCATTTTAGAAACTAGCCACATTTAGGCTTTCAAAAAAGCCATAATTGCTGAGGAGTGATTGGAAAAATGAATAGAATGAATTAGCATTGGTCTTTTGTAGCTGCAGGCTCAAATGTACACTAAATGAAAATAAGTTTGATCTCAGTCTGCACCTTCGTAGGTGTTTAAAGCTGATAATTCTCAGATGGGAACGGGATAGTCCTGAAAGCAACTTTAAAGAAAAAAACACAGTTCCCAAAGGTATTTCCTTAATTTGATATAATTGTATCATTAAAGTGACAGAACACTGAGATTGGGATGATTTGGGACTCAATTACTACTAGATTTCTTAAATTGATGATTAAAGGTCAAAAATGGCTTGCAGCTGGTACACTGTGCTGCCTCAGAAGGGCAACCTGAAAAATCACCCTGTCAGTTACAAGCAGAGGTGCTAATTTGATGGTTAGAGGTAGCATACTTCATTTGAATGATTTGAGTAGCAGAGATGGGCTTATGATGATATGTTTTATTTGAATGAACTTTGTTTAAATGAAAACTTTGAGTGAGTTGGAATCCAAATACATTGTGTTTAAGTGATTTCTCCTGTACCACAAAATTGTAACATCATGTGATGCAATTGGAAGCCTGCTTATAACCAATCCAGATCTGTTTTTATGTTTTTATCCAGGAGTGTTTTTATGTCAAAATTCAATACACAGGTGCACCTTCTTTTGGAAGATTCCACAATAACTGCTTTATACAAACCATTTTTTTAGCATCCTATCTGCATGTTATCAAATATATTTAGCCTGATGATAGATACAATATAAAAATAAATCATACTGTATTAGGTTAACTTCTAATATTAGTAGGAAGGTTTTTCCCCAAATGAAAATGTAGTCCTATTACACATTACAGTTTGGGACTTAAGGTATATATTTGACAGTTGAGGAGTATTAAATATGAAGCTTATTATAATTTTTTTAAATTAAATTTAGAATTCTTTAAATCTGTTGAAAAACTAGTTCATGTCTCCCAAAGTTCTTTATGGTAAATCAAATACATTTGCATTTGAATTCATTCTGAAAGGCTGTCTACCTCTTTGAGATACAAGTGTCCAGATAGTTGGCTTTTTGCAATAATCACTGTAGTAAACCATGGTAGTTCAGCGATGCTTTAGGGCCTTTCATTCTTGTTGAGGTGTTGAGCAGAGCCAGCTGGGGCATCGGCAAGTGCATAATGAAGCTGTAGCAGCCCTAAAATGACTGGAATGATGGAATGGAAAAAGGTACTCCAGTCTCTCTCATCCCCAGGAAAGTATGTGGAGCAGTTTAGATGGTGAAATCTGTTCCTGCAGAAGCATGTGTGTCTCCTCCCTCCCTCCCAGAAACATGGAATGGCTTAGAAGGGGTAGTGGGTAATGACAGTAGCCCCAGAATAATATAGACAATTTGTGGGGGAGAGAGGGATGTGGAATGGAGGATTTGCAACTCCTTTCTCTAGATCAGTGGTACTCAAAGTGGTGGTCCATGGATCTGTGCCGGTCCGCGAGCCATCGGCTGCCGGTCTGCGTGCACATTGGAAAAAACAATGCCGGTCCCCCACATCAGATAGCTCGAGAAGCACTGCTCTAGATGATGGTTTGGGCAGCCATGAGGGAAACAACCTCCCCTTCCAAACCAAGATGAAAGAGTCTCAAATGTTCCTTCCCAGATCCCCATCATACCAGCTGTGTTTCCTTTCGGGTGGGTCTCCCTCTACTCTCTGAACTGCTTCAGATTCCTGAGGTTGGGAATGATGGGTGCTTCTGCCTCACCCCTCTGCTCTCTTCCCTCTTGGGTGAAGGGTGTTCTTTCTGTCCCTGTAGGCAGCAATCAGCGTATGTACATTTTATTGCAAATGGTAAAATGTTAATCATGATCTTGAGAACCAAAACACTCATCTTATTTCAGCACTGGTCAGTTGAGTTCTTCCCACAAGAAAAGTTATAACAAGCTGCCATAATAAGTATATTTGACTGACAGCTGTGCTACAGTAGTGCTTTGATGCCCAGTAACTTTTTCTTGTGTTAAAACTAAAGGTAGCAAAAGCAAGGTTACTGTTCTGGACTTCAGCTAGGCAGTGACAAGCAGTGTCTGATTAGCACTGCTAATCTGCCAGTTGGAAAGAATTCCAAGATTAGAATATCAGAACTCCTCCAGAAAGCTGGCACTTGGCTGATAATGTCTCTGGCTAAATGTCTTACAAGGCTCACAACACACAATAAGAATATAAGGCATCCTGGAGTTCTCTCAGAACAATTTTATTTCTTTTTTCCTGCTCTGGTGTTGTCCTACTGATGCTTTTGCTGACTCTTCAACATTTCTGTGCAGACCTCACCTCTAAGAACATGATTAACCTGCTCTGATTGTGACAGCTTATATAATGTATTGTCTTCTCTCTCTGTGCAATATTTGCAGCATCACTTAAACAGACCTTTTTTCCCCTCCAGTATCTTTCATTAGAGTCCCAATTAGGGAGCTGTTTTTTTTGTTTTTGTTTTTTTTTAAAACACAGACTCTCAAGAAACTGGTTTCAGAGTAACAGCCGTGTTAGTCTGTATTCGCAAAAAGAAAAGGAGTACTTGTGGCACCTTAGAGACTAACCAATTTTGAAATTGGTTAGTCTCTAAGGTGCCACAAGTACTCCTTTTCTTCTCAAGAAACTGTTTCTCTGTTGAACAAACTTCTAAAGTTTCTGTAATAATTCCTGGTCTCTTTAAGAACAGTAGGCACTCTACTGAGGCTTTTCATAGCAGATGTATGAATTCTAATTTTCTCCTTTTTAGACAGTTGATAATTCATGTAGATAATAAAAATGAGTGCTGATTAAAGAAGGTCAGCTTTAAGATGTGTTTATACCCTGTGGTTTGACTTTTTTACAAAAAATTAACCACTAGATTGAATTTGTCACCATCCGGGGCCCTGATGATTGTCAAGGCTAAAGGTAACGAAAATCATGGTTGGCATTTTTGTCTCTTACACTTCTGATTTTAGTATTCTAGCATGGGGCCAGATCATGCCACCTCATGGGGCGTGGGGAAATCAATGGTGTAGGCGTGGGGAAAGGAGGGGCAGAGAAGGGTCTCCCTCATGGAGTTCCCCCCAGGTGACGGAAGCAGGGTTCACAATGGAAGAAGGCTACCCTGAAATCTCTGATCTTGGAGATCTACTGGAGACATGAGAGCCACTAGTGCGGAGGTCCTTTGCCTCCACACTGAATCCAAAGCCCCTCTGTCTTCTCTACCACTTGTGACAGTGCCCAGGACCCCCAGGCTGTATCAACTGTCCTGCAGAATGTCCCAGCCCTCACCCCTCCTGTCTACCCCTACCCCCTTTTCCATGTTCAGATCCCTAGACCCTAGTGTCCTCTGTGGGTCTAGGGATCTGCATATGGATAGATGTGTGGTGCTTGGAGGGGGTGGGGGATGAGGTTCCCTAGGGATAGCCGACCCCTAGCTCTCTTCTGCACATCTGAGAAAGATGCATGTGTAGATGGGTCCCTCTGTTCCTTGATCTGCAGAACATGGTAGGCCCTTAATGCTGTATACTTTTTTCCTAACATTCTACACAATCAGTGAATACCAAAAGTTTACATATAAGTAAATAGAAAAGCATTAGTTTAGCATAAGCTACAGAAACCACAAGCAATAAAGTGTTTATAAACAAGTTTGCAAAGTCAGTAGGAATGAAACTTGCAAAGCTTTACTTGAATTTTTATTGATGCTGTAACATGACATGAAAAATCTTTAAAACTGCTTTTGACAAAGAAATGTATTGAAATAAAAGTCAGACCTTAATTGTACAAAAGCAATGTAATCATCTGTAATTGAATTGTCAGAAATGCAAATGTTATCTTCTTGACATTTACCATTGCTGTTCTGTCTTTTCTAATTATCTTTATTAAAGGCTGAAATTAACAAAGGAAATGGTTTAAAATTAGGAATGGTTTGTTACATTAGGTGACATTTATTTCTTTGATACCCTTTATCTTTAGTTGGAGCTTGATGTTCAATTATTGTCTCTCTTCTAGGGAATTGCACCAAAATTGAGATTTTCTACCAGCTCCCTTATTACAGAAAGCCTGTTAAGTTCAGGAAGGATTCATGTACAGGTTAGCATAATTTAACTGTTTGTGATTTAATTTCTAGATTTAAACTGACAGCTGTGCTGTCAAATGTTTGCATGTGCTACTCCCTACAAACTTTTTTCTTCCTTTTGTTTGGGTAAAGCAGTTGTCAGAGGTGCTTGAGAACTTGATTAAATTTTTAATCAAGCAGGAGTAAAGAGAAGGCTAGGTGCTTGACAGTAGGTGCTGAGAGTTCCTCGAATACAAAACAATTAACAGCTGCCATATCCTGTGATCAGCAGAGGTGCGTGTCCCTGGTGTGTGTGGAGTTGGGAAGATGCCTTCTCATCATTATTTAACAGTAGCTGGGTGAACCTGGAGATGACAAATTATTAAAAACAAACCAATACATAAAGTATAACTGTAATTATCTTGAGAAATTATTTTTGTAATGGATATGAAGACTTCATTTTAAAAGGCGACCATCAGCTTGTCAATCAAATATCCACCTGGAAATTATGAAACAATGATTAGTAACGCTTTCGATGAACTAACTGAAGGAAACTCTTTTTCTGCCATTTGTTTACTTTGTGTTTGACAGCATTTTGTGTATAGTCAGTTTTACTGTTTTGAGCCTCTGTTGGGCTTCCTGTCCTATACACTTATATGATGACATCACTTTTCCATATTGTTCAAAATGGTGTTTATTAGTAATAGCAACAGCAAAACTGAAAAGGGACAGGCGGCAGGCAGGAATGTGCACAGACAGAGACTGGGTAGCCTGTGAATGTTTGGGGGGTGGTGGTGATGTTGGGTCTATCCTTAAGCAGGGGAGCAAATAAAAAAAGCCTTATCAACATTTTTAAAGGAGGATTTTTTTCTAAAAAGGCACATTCTATTGGAAAACTGAATGTTTCTAAACTGATAAACATTAAAAAAAAACAACAAGTTGACATTGTCACTTTAAAGAGATGCAATCATATTGGTGTTTTTCTAAAGTGTACATAGCATGTACTTGAGATTTTTAATGTACTAAAAGGTACCTGAGATTCTTAACATACCACTCTGAAACCAGTCTTAAACATGTAACTCACCGTGTGTGCAGATGGAAAGGCAAGCAATAACAGTGAATACCGCCCAGTTAGTCTGTAGTCCATTTCTGTTTCAGTTCTCATGCACTGATATAGTGCGGTTGCATTGTATATGCACCAGAATGATGTCTGTCATCTCTTTTTATTTTAAAAGGAAAAGTAATTCCCAAACGAAAGTCATAAAAAATATACAAAATTAAATACCAATAAAAATTAGGTTTAATAAAATGGGAATTTGGAGCCAAACTTTACCTGAAATTCCAGTTCATTATACTGTGACATCAAAGCCAAAATGTTCAACTGAGAAAGCGTTCAAAGCATAGCCTTTTTTCTAGCGTGTCACCAACTGTAAAGCTTGTAGAGGCAGCTGAAAGATGATTTTGTGCTGAAATTACAAAAGAGTGATAATGTATTTCAAATTAAACTTCAGTACTGAAAGTATTACTCTTGACAGTTGATTTTTAAACTAGTCAGTGAAGAAGTTAATAGTTAGGGCTGGCTCTTTTCTTAATAACTGTTAGTTTGGTGTTGCTGGTTACAAAAGAATTGTGGTTTGTTAATATACCATGCATGTGCACAATGTGGTAGTTTTAAAGCTTGTGTCAACTCTGAGCTAGACCCCTATGCTGGCATTTTAAATGGTCTCCAAACTTTGCCTCCAAACCCTGTATTTGTGGATGCAAAAAATGCCATTTTTACAGGCAAATGTTTAGGTTTTGTATTTGCATTATATTATTGGCATAACTTAAGAGGAACATTGGAAAGTGGGTCCTTAAGGTTATATTATTATAGCTTTTTGGTAATAACCTTGTCTTTAAAAAAAATACCCCAGTAAATTTGGTCAGCTTCTAAAATGCATATAATTTAACCATAAACAAGAGTTCAGTCTGTTGCCATCCACTCTTTAAAATAATTTAACCTTACACTCGGAACAGTAAACACTTTAAAAGATTTTACAAAAAAAGATGTTAGCCAGTTGAGCAAATATTTTCAAATCTGTAAACTTTTAATCATATATGCTAGGCAGAGTTGTCATTAAATGAACTAAAGTGACATAATTCAACTTAATTTTATATAGTGTCTTTAGCACCAACTGTGTGAGCAAGCTAATTGGATAAGTATCAGGCACTTAACCTTAAAGTCTGACATTTAACAATGTGCATTTTATCCTCCTCCTGGTTTTAAACGCATTATTTTTTTCTAAATTGCTGCGTGATTATAGTTTTCTTAGGGTAACTTGCACTGACGTACATCTATTTCTGTCGGAGGTATTGGTTCCCCTTTTGCAGATTTTTTTTTTTTTTATCATCACTAGCAATCTTTGCTCGGCATGCTGTCAAACCAGATAATTTCTCTTTTCACTTTAGGATAATTTGGATTGGGTGCATCATTCAACAGCAAATGGAAGATTACAAACAAGGTCACCAAAGAAAAACACCCCTTCACCTGAGAAAAACAGGCACTGTTTAGCAACAAAGAACTATGAGCAGCCCACAATAGCTTCTAAATCACGATCTCCATCTCCATACACAAAAAGACGAATGTGTGAGCTATCAGAAGAAGCCAGACAACGGCTGGCCCATTTAAACCTGGGGCCTTTTGAATTCAGAAGAGAAACTGATAAACCTCCATTTGTAATTAGACGTGTATGTATTCTCTGCAAAGTGTTTCCAATTTAAGCTCAGCTCAAACATTATTCTTTTGCTAAATATTACTCCCCAAATCCTAGTTTAAATGAAAAACCTTTTTTTCTCCTGAACAGCCTGCTACATAGTGATTTAAATGTAAAATTAACAAGAATAAAAGTCCTTTTGTCAGCACTGGTAACTGACAAGGCTCAAACTCTTTCATGAATACCATGTTTAAATTCTGAGTGTCCATTCTTTTTCTTCTAGCACACTGGACAGCATAACAGGTGCATAATTCAAGTTGGAAGTAATTGGTATCAGTATTAAAAGTGGCTGAATAGGATTTGAAAAGAGTGCAGTGACTTTATGAAGAGTCAGAATTCCTCCTTTGTACCTTTCTTTACATTATCACCTTGTCTTTGAAATTGTCCCTTTTCTAAAATATAAACTTAATCCTTCAAGTTCCTGAGCATTCTGACCCCAACCTAGCAAAGCACTTATGCACATGCTTAACTTTAAGTATGTGAGTCATCCTGCTGAAGTCAACAGGACTACTCTTGCTTAAAGCTAAGCATGTTCTTAAGTACTTTGCTGGATTGGGGCCAGAGTGCTTTGCATCTTGGAGGATCATATTGTTCAATATGTACTTTAATGTTAGTTTTCTTTTTTCTTAATATTTCCCATGATCACTATAAACATCTACCTTCAGAATCCAACCTTGAAAGATTGCAGAGAGAAGGAGAAATGGGGCTCTTTTGTTTCTGTGCTATGACATCAGGCCTTGCGTGCAATTTCAGCGATCTTATCTGCCATGTTACCTGATTATCTTAGTTACTTCTCTGATTATTCCTTTTTTAAGCTGATTACTAATTAATTCATTAGCATATGTTATCAAACTCTGGAATTCACTAACAAGTTTTCTTTTACTCCTAGATACCCTTTAGAAATTCAGATGAGCCTTAAGCAACCATTAATCTTCATCCTACTGCTTATCGTACTCCCATGGATATTATTTTTTCTTTGAACTCAAATTAGTCAATTCTTCTGTTTCTGATCTATAGGTGATGTTCACAGTGTAATTACAGCACCTTTACATGACAATTGCTGACTGATTACTTTGACTACTTTTGTGCCTCTTCTACAAGAAGAAAATGTGTATCTGCTGTATTCTTTTAATGTACCATATCCAGACTTTCATTGCCTTTCTGATCTTCAGGGTGTCTTTAACTCTGAGGTCTTCTTGGACTGGGAATACTATGTGTTACATTAAGATCAAAATTTGAACTTGCTAAAACATTATCCTTTAATTAGGAAGAAGAGCAGTGCTTTAAATATCTTGGTGAGATCTGAACTATTTCTGGTAAATATTAGATAACTATTCCGTAGCTTTTCCTTTTTTCCTGTTATGTAACTGGTGCCGTAGTAGACTATGTATAACAAAGCTGTAAGCAGGGCTTTGGAGCTGGGCTCCGGCTCCACTCTAGCTCCAGGCAAAAACCTGCAGCTCCACTGCTCTGGAGCTGCTCCGCACTCCAGCTCCGGGCTCCACTCCAAAGCCCTGGCTGTAAGAAGGTTCTAGTGGATCTGCATTAATATATAAGACAATAAGTTACATCTTGTTCTGCTGCGTGTCACCCTCTCGCCTCCTTTCTGGTTTGATTTATAATTTCTAATCTAAGGGTTTTTGTAACTGTTCTTACATTATCGTCTGTGTATACGTAATAATACTATATTTACACAGACAAAATACTGAGAATAGCTTCCTTAACATTATCATCAAAAATCTTAGATTTATAAATTGAACCAGAAAGGAGCAGAGGTGGACTTACAGGAGAAGGAAAGGTAATTTAATTTATTTGTGTGTTTGTGGTCATATAAAAAGTTTATCTCCACACACTAAATGTTTTAACAATGTTTTGGCTCCAGGTTGAACATCCGAGCCCCACTGTTGATGTTCATACTTGGCGTCCCACCAGAGACAGTGGACGAGAAGCTTGGTCCAGGGTATCTTATGGTACGTATTGACTTGTGTATCTCGTCTTAGATACTCCCGTTCCATACAACTGGTTAGGCTTTTTAACCCCTTCGTGTGGAAAGACTGTCCTTTCTTCCGAGGATTTAGGCAGGATGCTGGGATGAATGAACCTACTGTTTAAAAAACAAACAAACAGACAAAAAATGTAGCTTAGGATATTTAATTAGTCCAATGATTGGGTCCTTAGTTCTGTGTCATCTGAAAACAGAGTGTCTCCAAACACAGGTTGGTGCACTGGTAAAGTCAACCTGTGCTGGCAAGGAGCCAGTGCAGAGACACCTGGTGAGTGAGACTGACTAACCGTGGCCTATTTGGATGAACAAAGATGACACTGGAGAGGGCACTCCAAGCACTAAGCCTGAGGATCCCTGACAACCCAAACAAAAAACCCTATTACTCACTTTGAAATATAACTATTTTAAGCCTCTGTACCTAGGATATCTGCAACCTTTCTCTTTCCTGCCAGCCAAAGTAAAATACCCTTTCACTTACCCATGTGTCTGATTGGTTATTGGGGCCCACCAGGGCTAACCCCTACAAGGCCTAGCTTTTGAAGCCCCTAAAATGCTTGCCTCTGAATTTCAGTACACCTGGCATGCTACTGTTAGCCTACAGGGTTCGTGTACTGGGTTGGGACAATAATTACGTATCTTTATATGAACTGAAAAATACAGGTCTTCCTACAGTGGTTATGCTTTGCCATTTTATTTAGCTTCTGATCTCTTATTTCCCATATGCACGACATGGATTATTTGCTTTGTTACTTCCAGTAATCCATGGATTAAAGTTAGAATCCTTTAGTGGAGAGCTAAATTGAAAACAATCCTTCTCCCATATAGTATATTTCCACAGACTTGGAGATTCCCTGTCTGTCTCAGGTAAAATTAGGGAAGGCGGTACTTTAAAACATGGTTTTTCTTCAGTATTCCTCATGTATGATAGCGTGAAGTCTAGTGAACTTCGTCAGTATTTATGTGTACTTCTATTCACATTTTATTGTGACTCCTCACTAGTAATACCTTCGCTGCAATTCACCATGAATTAAAGGTACTTTGCAGTTTGCCCATAGTGGAAGGACTGGAGGCTCCAGATGTAGACATTGGGATGCAAAGCCTTTCACCTCAGGGTCATAAACTTGAATCTTTTGCAGTTTGGTAATATCAGAGCCACATTACCACCTGATAGGCATTAAGCACGTATATGAAATGAGCTAGAGGTCTTGGGCCAGTCACTAGGGGTCTGAAATCTACCTCAGAAAAGAGTTGTCACTTCTAACGGTCACAAGATTCATTGGTAGAGAGCCACCCCCCTGCCTATGTTCTGGGGTGTAACAGTTATAAGGATCAGACTTCTGAAAAATACAGGTGTTCTAATCCTAGAAATGACAGCTCAGTACTCTTTCATCCTTCTGGAGGTAGCTTACTGAGTCCATGCAGTTTACTGCATGTATATATTGATCTTTTGGATGAGACTAAAAATATGGAGGTCCTGTCTGCTTTCTGTGGAGAGGATTTACAAATTTGGTTACTTGGTTGCACCCCCAAATTAGATACTAAATTTCATCATTTTGTGCCTGTAAAATCAGAGGCAGTTATTGAAAATTTGACTCTACAGATACTATGGTGCTTTTAATTAAAGAAGGGTTTGCCCCAGTGCTTTAGAGGGAAGCTTTCATCCTGACAGTTCCAAATATATGGCCCCTCTTAGATATAAGCACATTTTATCGAAACTTGGGAGCCATTGATATTGGTGGGATTTCTGTGCATGTATCTGTAGATAGAATTGTAGCCCCTGTCTGGTTGCCATGCACTCTGGATATCTAAAGTTGCACAGAAGAACTAAGCATTAGATACTATTAGGTGAGCTCACTCTCACCTTGAAGATACTATCCACCAAACTGATTTGAGGCATAGCAGCACAGAGTGAGAATAGTTGGGACATTTCCAGTCCTGTGGATATACAGTGGACTTCTCTTTTAGGATGGAAATTTGACTTCCTTTACAAAGTGGCTTACTATAGTGTAGTAGATAATATGGTCCATATTCTGGTATAGTTTTACTTTACATTGGTTTAAGCAATGAATAACAATATAAGTCACTTCGGTCCACTCACAAAATTGTACTCATCCTCTGTGATGAGTTCCCGTTCACTTAGACCATGTCTACCCTACCATTTATGTTGGCAAAACTTATGTCACTCCGGGGGGGGGGGGGGTGAAAAAACCACCCCTTTGAGCGACATAAATTTCTCCGGCATAAATGGTAGTGTGCACAGCACTATGTCAGCGGGAGAGCTTCTCCCGCTGGCATAGCTACCACCACTCTCTACCGTAGCTACCACTGCAGGTGGTTTAGTTATGTCTACAGGGAGCTCTCTCCCGTTGGCAGAGAGCAGCTACGTGAGAAATTTTACAGCAGTGCAGCTGCATCTGTACAGCTGTGCCACTGTAAGGTCTCTAGTGTAGACATAACCTTAGTGCTGCAGCCAAACTAAAGTTATTGTTGTCAGATGAAGAAACTGAAACCCTAACGCACTAATGGCCATGACGTTATTGTGAATTACACAATGTATCATGTGTCAGAGGCGTAGTCGTGTTCGTCTGTATCCACAAAAACAATGAGGAGTCCGCTGGCACCTTAAAGACTAACAGATCTATTTGGGCATAAGCTTTTGTGGGTAAAAAACCCACTTCTTCAGATGAATGTAAATTGCATCTGAAGAATGTAAATGTATAACAGTAAATTGCTTTGGCTGCTGTTTTGAAAGGTGAGTTGTAAGTGATTTTTGGGAAAGACTTTTTTTTTTAAAATGCCCTAAACTGCATGTGGATTCTAGACCTATAGTCTCAAAACTTGTTTAAAAATTCTGTTGGGGTGCATTTTTTTCCAGATCCTTCTCTTCTTGGCAGCTATAGACCCAAGCATACTAAAGTAAGTAATGCAAATAAAATTGCATGTAAATTTTCCTATGTTTTGGAGTATGTGGAATAGAAAAGCATGTGGGATTTTTGTTGAAGGTGCCTGAGTGAAATCAAGTATACAACTTCTTCATCTTGTTGTTTGAATCTGTATATGCACCGTTACCTGAATATAGATATTGTTTTATTGTACTATAAAGCGTTCTCAAAACATTCTGCAGACACAAACTGTTAACACTATGGACATAAACTCATAGTGAATAATCCTATTCTGCAGTTATAGAACCTAATTTTTATTTACAGTAAAGTCACTTTCACTTTATGATGCCGGGGTGAGTAAAGGCACCTTAAAGTGGGTGTGAAATTACATTTACAGCCACTTCAAGAGGATCTCTTGTATCACCAGAGCATTGGTGTAAATGACAGCTGGATCCACAGTGTTTTATTTTTGTTTTGTTTTTTTAAATTGCTGCTCATTACTTCAAATGTTTGGCTCTTGTGATTATTCTCAAGTTTTGTCTTTCCTTCCTCAGCTAGCTGCTTTTCATATGTTCTTGGTTGGGATGGAGAGCCTTGTTTATCTCACCAACCTGATAGACGTGTGAAATGAGATGTCACTTCTTTGTTTATCCTTTTTTTCCTAATTTTTGTCTTTCCTGAAATACACTGGAAATTTTACTAGCAGACTGTAGACCGTTATTTATTGTGTGTGTGCCCTATTAGATTTCCTAACGGCTGGCAAGAGAGATGATGCAAGGAGGGACAAGGAAAGTGAATTAAAAGGATAAACCTTTGGTTCAGGCCAAACATTCTTGTCAGCTTCTTAACTTTCACTGTGTAGGATTGCAGTTTTATGTGGCATGTAAGTCTAATATATTGTGCTGCCTCTGGATTGCTCCATAGTGATAAGTGATAAACTGTACTGAGAACTTCTAAATATGCTTTTATGATGGATGTTTTAATTCAAATCCATTTTTCTCAAATGGGGAAGAAGATATTAGCGGCAGTCATTGTTTGGACCACATAGATAACAAAGATACAGATTAAATTCATCACTCTCCTGATGCCCTTAAGCATTCCTGGTTTCAACAAAAAAATAAAGGCAAAAAGGAATATACCTTTTCTGTTGCCAAAAATAATAGTATAGCTCTGAACTAGATGTTGTTAATATTGTGTAGAGTGAGAGGGCCTGAGAATTACTATTGGTGTAAAGTGGCTGTTAAGGGGAAATCAATGTTAAATTTAATAAAGCAGATTATATTTGGGCATGCTGTTTGTCTGTGTGTTTAATCTGAAGATTACATTTGAATGGGATTCTAATTCTGTAGCCAACATCAACTACATCTTTTAAAATTGTTAGGTGAATTAGCTCATGGGGCCAAAATGTTTGGACTTTCCTGGCTTTTATTTGTTAATTTAGGTCTTTTGTGTGGCATGACTAGGGTATTCAACTTTGGTTAAAGTTCACCTAAAAATAGTGTATTGTGCGATGGGGACAGATACAGTCCTGCCTTTCAGAGGGTTTCCTGGCTAGCAAGGAGAATTCCATGGAATATTATTGAGTTCCTCTATGTGTGTGGTGTAAAATAACAAAACAAATTCCTTTCTCCCACAGGGCACAAGAATCTTTAAAGGGCCAATGGGGTAAAGCTTTCGTCAAGGTTACATTTGAATAACGCTCTGATGAATCTCTTTGTAGGAATATATGGGAACAGATCGAATCTTGATCTAAAAATGCTATTTCTACATAAGTGGGCATGGCAAACCAGATGAGACATGGCCTGGTCCCCTAAGCTTACAAGCTAAGCTGGAAAACATGTATCCTTATCCCACCCCACATCTTTGTCATGGAGCTATTCTGGCAGCTTTACAGTGTCCAAGGATCTCCCTTATGTGGCTGCAGCAGTATCTAGAGATCAAGAATTTGGCCCTAGCTGATGGGGCCAGCAGGAAGTGAGATGCTGGATCAAGATGGTGGAATACTAAAGGTTCATCACAGTGGGACACCTTTCTGTGAAATTTAAGGAATATAGCAACCCTTCTAAGCCCTTTGCACTGCTTGCACATTTTTCATTAGCAGCAAACTCCATCACTCAAGCGTGCAAGGTGTAGCTTTCCTTAGCACTTTACAAGCTTACAGAGAAAACCCATGCAAAATGAACTGTATGGGTGTAGTATTCAGTTTTTAAAGGGTCATAACTAGGGCAAATAGAGAACACTTTCAGTGGAAATCTTCAAGGTCTCTTTTCACTAGAAACCTGCAAGGCACTTTCTTCAGTGAGGGCTGTTTCAGATTTTTACCTCTAACTTTTTTCAGCTCTGTAGCGGCTCCAAAAAAATTGCAAAAATTTCTTTATAATTGGGAAAAATGTTGTCTCCCTCCTCCCCCCATTATCCCCACCATCTTGTTTGATAATCCAATATGGCTGAAGAGCTTTTGCTGAGACTAAAAAGTCCCTGTTCAGAAACCAATCCTAGAAAATTTTCATCCGGAAAGGTGAAAACTTCAAAAAGATATCAGTGACTGAAAACAGGGGTTAGCCTGGAATGCAATCTTAATTATGGGGGGTGCTGCTGCTCCCACTCCAATGTTATATGCAAACCTCTGTAAATCATCACGTTATGTGTATCACTTAATGCAGACAAGTTGAATTTTTAACTTTGTTTGACACACATAGCAGGTGGAAAGTGTACATCTCTGCTCCGTTAGCTGGTGCACAGGCATAGCCAGGGCACATTTTACATATTGTTTTAAGTTTTCCTGCTGTTTTCTCTCTGACAGATGATCAAGTCTCATCATGGGAAAGACTTAGATGGCTCTTCCGACAGCTGTGATGAGCACCCGATCTCGGGTACTGCTAGTAGGCATTTTCATTCTACTAGTTCATTAATACGTTCAGCACCCTCCTCATTGCAGAAACATTCCTCAAGTCCTGTACTAAACCGTTCTTCGCTTAGAGAAAGGTAAAGGCTTGTTTTCATTTGTTGTCTGTGAAACTTTGGGATAATTGGCAATTGTGAATCACAGTAATGTTTGCATAACTGTAGGTTGTAAGGGTAACACAGGCTACAATGACTGTGGATTTCCTGTTACTTTATGTAGTCATTTGAACTGTCATCAAAGGACCACATGTACAAAAGTTAGGGTGTCCATCTTCTCTCAACTGCATTTGTACAGCCCAACTGACATGGGTCCCAAAATCATGGCAATAAAATTCTCTTCTCCAATTGCATGTTTTGAATATTTGGTATAACTTAGTCCGGGTTTTGGCTCTGAATGTCTATTATATATCTCAAGCAACAATTGGTCAGTATCTTGGAAAATGCTAATATTCCAAACACTGATTTCAATGTCAGGAACTTAAATGTGGTGATTGCATTAGTAAAATATTCTGAAGGTGTTTTGAACTTCTGATTGTTTTTCAACCCCAGTATTTGTTAATTTATATCTAATCCAATTAAAGGTTCTTTTTATAAATAGAAACTTTACTTTAGGGTTTTCTTTAAAAATATGTAGAAATATAGTTTTAGTGGGGCATATGTGGGCTGGCTTTTAAATCCTAGTGAGAGTTTAAGGTGGTGTCCCCTTACCATCGCCCTCTGCCTGACACTATTCCAGCATTCTGACGACTATAACTGAGAGTTTCATGTGTCTTGTGTATTGATGTTTCTCTTTTTTTCTCCTTGTTTGTGTATTTGATAACTGTGTGTGTGTAGTTAAGGTCACTATGCTACCCGAATAGATTTACCCCCTTTTCTTTTGTGTGGATCTTTCACAGGCAGTAGACAAGAGAGAACAACACTTTGAAAACAACCTTTTAACTCTTTTTTTGCATGGTACTCATCTTTGCCTGTCCAGCTCAAAATCAGGTCAACATTCTTGCTGTTTCACATCACAGGTCTCTCCCCAGCAGATTCAGAATTTTGTCCAATGACGTCATGTTCCCTTCCTATCAGTAGGGGGACACCAATGTTGTTAATAAATACCCACAGTTTCCTTACTTGAGGTCCAAGACTTTTTAAAAAGAATGTAAATGTTTAAAAGAAATCTTTTGGCAGAAGCAAAATCATAAAATAAGAAAGCAAAGAGGCAGGAGCAATGAAAACGTAGTCTGAATCTGACCTTAATATTAGTACTGCTCAGCTTACTAAGGTTTTAACCGAATATATGCCGAAAGTTACATTTGAAGCTGGCAAACATGTAGCCAGGGTCAGCTTTTGGAAATGTATTAAAATATTTTTGTTCAAATCACCTAACTGTGCAGAACATCAGTATTGCTGAAAGCATAACAAAATACATGTATATCTAGATGAGTATAAGAGCCCAATCTTGTGGTGATTTGATAAATACTGCCTCCAATCTATTTTGAACCTAGCGTACGGAGAGCACTGAGCTTCTAGGCTACATAATGCTAGTCAGCACACAGCAACAAGAAAACTTGACCTCTTTGCTAAATAGGTGTGAAGTGAGTGTCCATGACATTATTTCCTCAGAGCCCCACTGTTGGTGTTACTTGCATAACTATGCACTCCCAGAACCTTTTTGAGCAATGTATGGAAGGGGGGGAGAAGGTTTGCATAATTCCCATGAATCCTGCATCACATAGCCCAAGGGTATAAATATTGTGCCCTTTCTAATAGTCCCTCGGCGCCTGCCTGCCTGCTAGCCAGTGGTTGTAAAACTTCTCCCTTTTTCTTTAGTGTTTGATAAATAAATCAAATAGTAAATAGTTAGATTGTTAGGCTAAGGCTGAAAAGTTTGCTTTGTTGTTTTAAATTTTTGTCTGTTTTAATTTCCTCAAATTCTACGTCACTTTGTGTCATTGTCTTAGAGACCAGTCTAAGACAATGGGTTTAAGAGGTGGTCTTTCCCCATACCTGCTTTATATAGATGTGTAACGTGCCCTTTATACGTTGGGGAAGTGCATTCCGCTAAGCAGGGATTGACCATTATTTTTTGTCAAGGTCCAAATTTTTTGGTCAAGGTACAGTGAAGGTCCAGACTCCAGAGCAAATAATAAAAAAAAACAATAAGTAAACAAATAGATTTTTGGGGTCCATTCAGAAGTACCTGGCAGTCCGGATTTGGCCCGTGGTCTGCCTATTGACTCTCAAAAAGGGCCCAAAAGCGTTGTAAGACTTTGGTCCAGAACTTGCTTTTGGAAGAGGCTCCAGTAGCATGCAAGTCCTGGTGATTTTCTGCTACGAAAGTACCCCCCAAGCACAAGTAATTTGGCAGCTAAATCTTGCTAGATGACAACGCCTGATGCAAAATCTCAAGCTGAAATCATCCCCTTGTTTGAGATTCCTTTACAAGCATTGAAATGGGTTCCACCAGCTAAAAAGATTGAAATTCTTTGGTTGGCTCTGAAAAGAGAATGCACAGTCATGATACTTGGTCATTTCTGGTGTGCTGAGAGGCAAATCGGGCTTTGAGAATCATGCATCCAGTTTGAAGTAATCCTTTCCATTCTGCACCTGGCAGGTGTAAAAACTCCCTAGCTGCTGATTTCAGTCTGAAAGGTGTGGAACATCATGAGTGGTCACTCCTGCCCTCAGGTGCTTGTGTGATTTCTGCCAGATGGGATCGTTGGAACACGGATTTATCCGCTACAAGTCAGAACAACAAACCACAATCAGGTTTGCTTGAGAACAGTCAGGGATCCACGTTTAGGACTCCTTTCTTTTGCATTGGCAAGAGAGTCTCCTTTTACTCCTTTCTTCTGTTTTCTCTCATTCCCAGAGTACTGGGAAAGTTTTGGCAGCATAGTGTTGGGTGATCTTAGTTACTCCAACATGAGTCCAGTTGACCATGTGTGTCCTGGCTCTACTGAAGTCTATGGAAGTTTTGCCTTTGACTTCAGTGGAGTCATGATTTCATCCCAGGTTCTTGACTTCTAGTTTTGTCCCAAGGTTGTTTGTTCATTCTCTCCCTGAGTCAAGATCTCCTGTCCCAGCAGAGTAATGCATCCAGACTTCAAGGTTCTTTGTCTCATGTTATAGAGATTGGCTTTCTAGGGCAAGATGTCTTAAAATGGAGTCCAGAAAACCATCCACTAGAAAACAGAATGCTGGTAAATAGAACTGTTTTTAAAAGTTTGATCACTGTAAAGGCTGTGACCCGGTTTCTGTCCAGTTCCAATTGGTTTAGACTTTCTTCTGTCTCTGTTATCAAAGCTGTTCTTAGGTAAGCACCTGCAGTTTCCATCTGCTATTACTGCTTATGCTGACCCTGAACCTGGCCCTGTGAAAAGGTGCTCTGGCTTTGTCTGTTCCCCAGTGAAACAATTCTGTAAAAGTCATACAAACTTATACATGCCTGTTCAGGAACCTATTCAACTTTGGGACTTGAACTTGGTATTAAATAAACTCATGGGAGGGTGTTTGAGCTTTTAGGGTCCTGCTCTCTGCATTGCTTCTCAGTGAAGATTATCATATTTTGTCACCGTTAACTTGGCCAGGAGGGTTTGAGTGGCAGGCCTTGATGATCTGTCACCTTATACTGTATTCCACAAAGATCAGTGGCTACTTCACCCCAATCTAGACCAATTTATATCTGACTTTTCATCTCAATTACTGATATCTCTGCCTGTCTCTTTCACAACGCCCCATAATTATGCTGAGGAGGTGAAGTTGAACACCCTGGATGTCAAGAGCACTGGCTTCTACTTAAACAGGACTAAGCCATTTCAGAAGTTAGACAATTTATGGCCTCTGGAGAGGAATTTGAGGGTCAACCACCTGAGCTCAAAGACTGTCAAAATGGATAAGAAAATGCATCCAGTTATGATATATACCAGGGGTGCCTGAATTCTTAAGGGTTTGATCAACAAGGGCATTGCAAAATTGATGGTATCTACATGCAATGTACCCTTATGTGAAATTTGTAGGGCTGCTACCTAGAGGTGAGTTCACACCTACGAATCACTATTTTCTCGACACTACATCCAGAGCAAATGGTGGTATTAAAGGACATTGTTTAAGACCAACCTCCTTAGAAGGTGATTGGCTAGCCTTCATGCTTTAAATTAAATGAGTTTACTTATCAGCAAGCACTTGTTCTCTGTGTGCCTCCATAGAGCTACCTCTTTTCTGCTTCAGAGCCCAGCTCTATACAGGGCTTCGGGGGGTGAAAAGGAACTGAGTGACCATTAGAAGGGATGATGCATTTCCTATCTACAGAATTTAGCACTCCGAGGAACTGAGTGCACCCACCAGCTACTGCTCAAAACAACTATTTACTGCCATAGTGTGACTCTTGTCTACGCTTAAAAAACAAAGTGGTGGTTGTAGCTATTCCTTCACAGTTAAACAGCAAAATCCCACGGGATGGGAGCAGTTATATCAGTATAAAGGTGCTTATACCAGTATAGCTTCTTGTGATTTGGAAACTGAAATAAGCTATAAACTATAAACCGTATAGCTATATCTACAGGAGGGCTTTTACTGTCCTCATCATGTTGGCAAAAAAAAATCACACCTCTTACTGACATAATTATGCCAGTAAGACCAACTCTTACAGCATCTCTCTGTGTTGGCAATATATGCGGAGAACAAGTTGTTTTTTTGTAAATAGCCACTTCCTAGCCTTTAACTGGAAATAAAGTTACTTCTTCTGGTTACCATGAGTACTGCAGAGATACAAAGTATCCAAGTTCTATCCATTTTGGAATTAAGTGTACCTGTATTTGGCTTTTCTGGATGATCTCTCATGTTACATGGGTAGTTTCTGAAAGATTCTTTTAGCTGTTTGTCTGGTTATATTTATCTAAGTAGTTATTTCTTTTTTCTTTTCTTTTTCTGTCTTGCAATAGAGCTCTCCAATTGTGAACCTGCTACTACAGTTCTTTATTGATTTCTGTCCTGTGATAGTTTGTCCTTGTATGTAGTTTCTTCTCAGCATGAAGTGTCTGCTTTGAAGTTGATAAATTCTTCATGGACGCCACATACACACATTTACACAC